CTTCGGAGAACCGTTCTGCATTCCAATGCCATCAGAAAATTCCTGCTAGATCAGTGGATGGTGCGTAGAAAACCAGAAGTGTACGGGCAATTTAACCTACTTAAAAATTTAGGTAGGTAGCTATAATACATAAGGACCCAAAAAAGACCGCTAGAGACAACCCCACCCTCAGATCGTATAAATTGCAAACGGAACAGTTTTCGTTTTGTTTCGTATAGGTGTAATTATGTCTGTTTTGTTTTCCCAGGAAGAAGATCTTGCCTTTTGTTTTTTTTTAATCTTGTGAGCTTCGGCGATGGCACTTAAAACAATAGTAATTTACCTTCAACTCACATTTTTTCCAAACAGGCAAGTTTAGTGCTCTTAGAAACGCAGGACTCGCTAGCGTTCAGTCTCTACGGCCATATCAGCAGCAAGGAGTTCAGTGGATCATATCCTTGTACGAAAATGGTCTTAACGGCATTTTGGCGGACGAGATGGGGCTAGGAAAAACAGTTCAGGTATAGGCTGGTTGTTTTTTTATTTCTTTTTTTTGGAAGATTTCTCTTTTTGTACTGTAAAAATACTTGCAGTCGACATTCCTCAGTATCCACGATGAACAAGAATTGGCATTAGGATGTTTCACTGAACATAATTAAGCATAAGTTTACTTATACAAGTATACTAGGAATCGCTTTACTTTGCAAGAGCAGGCCTTCTTGCCATGTTATCAGCGTGAAGCAAGGTGTTCAAAGCCGTTTTTATCCAGAGATTTAATAACAACCTCAGTTTATTTGCCAGTGGTTTCAGATAGCTAGATGACTGATGTCGCCTTTTTGGGTTGGATGCAAATATAATTGAACTGTGAGGAAAGACGCAAAGGTAGTTTGCCACTATGATCTATTTAGTATGACAGAACTTGGACGATTTTTTCTTAACAGTCCTTATGAAATTTCAGGGTCACAAAATCTACCTGTGATTCTTGAAATTCTTGGAAATAATGATCATTTATAAACTTTTAATTGGGTGACAGAGTTATTCCAAAATTTTTACGCTTCCACTTTGTCGATCGCTTAGTAAAACAGAGGTCTTTACAATGGCTACCGAGAACATTAAAAAATATACGTTAATAGCCGTAGCGATAAATTGATTTTTCATAGAACACAGATATTGATTGTAGACCAGCTCCGTGGTTTTCTGATTTAATACTTCTTCAATCCTACACATTGGTCCTCCATTTGACATTTGGGGTACAAGTGGTTTTCTGCTGGCCGCTTGTCTGAAGTTTCGTAATTTTTTGCGGCTCGTTGCTTGCAATTAGCACTCATTTTTATGCAAACCCTTTATGCTTCTTTGTAGGTAATAACCTCTTTCGCAGCACTCGTGGCTGGTGGCGCCAAAGGCCCCTTTCTGGTCGTTGCGCCGTTGTCTGTTTTACACAGCTGGGCAGAGCAGATGGATATATTTGCCCCCGGTCTACCGCGCCTAATTTATTATGGAACTAATGAAGAGAGGGTAGCTTTGCGTGAGCAAATAACCCGTACGCAATGCTTTACTGTAACAGAATCTACAGAGCAAAGCCACCAAGATGAGGAGGAAGAAGAGAGCCACACTGAGAGAAAACCAGAAAGTACGGTGTGTTCGTTGACGGGACAAAAACCGGACCGTTATCCCCATCTGCATTCACTCATTACTGAGGTCCTGGCGAAGCCCTCACCTCACAATGTCCCATTTTTGAAGCAAACACATGCGCAAGTGCCCGTACCACCACCCTCAATGCAGCATCCTCAGTTCACTGGCAAGCCTATAGTAGTAACAACAGGAGGAAATGATTCAAGAACCAATTCCTCAACAAGCTTAAATGTCAACTGGCGGGCTGGAATGCTCTCGATTGTGAGTTTTCTGTCAACTAATCAACCACCAAGTCCTGCACCTAAACTGACCCACTTGAACGAGATTCTGGACTCTGTCATTTCCGAGTCCCATTTTAATATTAAGAAGGATTACAGACGATTTATTGCAAAGGCTGACCGGGCGGACGTATACTTTCAAGCCATTCACTCAAGTCAGCCTCCAACAGCATCAACCCTAGAAAGCGCCGCCGCCCCCCATAGGAAAAGGCAAAGGAAAGACCGTCTGCCAGCCAAGCCTTCTGAAGAATGTGTGTTGAGGGCATCCAAAGATGCCAACGACATCCTGACAGGAAAGCCCTTTGAAGAAAGAGGCTCAGATGAAACCTCAGCGTTGCCCTCGGCAGGCTCCATCGCGAAAACGATATCATTAGGACCGTTAGAGTCGCGCCGGCTTGAGAAGGTTTCTAGTGAGGTGGCTTGGGGACATTTAGAGGACGTCATAAGCGGAGTTCTTTCAAAGACAGATGATGACATGAGCGAGCGCGAAGCAGGTGTTCTTGAACAGGAAGTAGATATGTTAAACAGCTTGAGTGAGGGCTGTGGTACTACTGTGGGTGCGTGCCCTGCAGAAGAGGGAGAACCACAGGGTGCTGCAATTGTCGCGGGGTCGGTCGGTTCAACCTCAGAAGCGGATTTGAAACCTGCATATGCACCACTTGATGCCTGTCGGGACAAAGAACAGGAAGACAAATCGCCCGCTGAGCAAGTGCCTTCCATTGTGCAGTGCGAACCACCACTAGCGGCTAAACCTGCGGTCTTGTCGTATCATGTCTGCGAAGGAGGCCTACGAGGCAAGGACGCGCTCATCTTTTCTCCACCACCAGCCGGCGAAAGTGAGGTCAGTTCGCTGCTCCCCACGACGCAGCCTTCTTTGTCTTCATTTCAGGACAAATCAGTAGACTCAACTACAGCAAGGCAGTCGCCCAGAGCACAGCAAACTTCTCTTCTCACGAAATGTGTGCTACCAACGCTGGAACAGAAAGTTGAAGACCCCTCTTTTCTCCCAGATAGTGTCAAAGATGGCAAAGAAAATGCCGGGAAAACGGGGGGGTTCGAGTGTTCTCCTGGAGAGGCAGCAAATAACCCTGAGCCTTCCGAGAAAAACAAATTAAGAGGATGCTTATCCAGCCCCAAGAACCTCAACATTTTGCCTGCAGGGGAACAGTCTTTATCCGCGTGGGAAGAGCTGAAAAACTCTTCGAGGGAAAAACCTCCAAAGTTCTCTTTTGGTAGCTCACCTCATCTACAGTTATTTGCCTCATGTCAATCCAATTATTCTTCTGAGGGCGAAATCGTCGACGAATGTGCCATCGGTATGAATTTGGAGCGGCTCAAGTGTGAAGAAAACACTTCTGTTCCGAATGAATCCGACCTCTCTCGCAAATGCAAGGAGTTGTCCGCTGCGGATGAATCTGCTGTCACTACTGACGATTCTGGCATTGACATCCATCAAGCACTCAATCAAGGCAAGAGCGAATCTGCTTCAGACAAAAGCGTTTTGGGAGTCCAGCGGGAGTCTTTGTCGTCTTTGTCATCCCCCCAACGCGAAAGTTCTCTTTTGAAATGCCCAGTTAATACATCTGATTCGGAGAGTAGTAAAAGGCCACAGACTGCGGAGTCTGGCTGTTTTCCTGTTGTTCTTACAACGTACGAAGTTGCGATTCGTGACGCCAGCTTCCTGGAAAGGATAAATTTCAAGGTAGTTCTATGTAATTTTCGCCTCTCTTAGAGTGTCTTCCTCTCTCTCTCTTAGTTACGAGTGTCCACACACTGAACTTTTGGCACACTATTTTCAGGCCTTGGTCGTTGACGAAGCCCAGAGAATTAAACGTGCGAGTTCGAAACTCTTCCAGTGTTTAAAGGAATTTGATGCTGATATCCGATTGGTTGTTACAGGAACTCCACTGCAGAACAATATCAGTGAGCTGTGGTCTCTACTGCATTTTGTACTTCCTGAAATATTTTCTCTCGGAACTGATTTTTCAGTGAGTACTACAGCATCATGTCTTTTTTTTTCTTGATTATACCCTTTCCATTTTACCACCTATCTCAGTGAATAGAAACTGTTCAGCGTTTAGATCCAGAGAGTGGATGACGTTGGACCAGTAATAGTTTGACAGGTAGAAAAAAGGCTGCAGCTTCCCATCCGAGCTTAACTGTGAACTATGATATTATATCACCCCATCGTGAATTCTCGTTTTTGAAACAGCCCAACTTTCCATAATCGCCCTTCCTCAACATATTCAACATTTGTCCGTAGAATGTACAAATATGTGGATTCAGGTTTAGTTCAGTGCACACATGAGAACAATAGCAAAAACTCAGCGCACCAAAATGTAGACTCTTTCTAAGCTAGTATGTGAGGGAGTGAGGGTTGATGTTCTTCCTCTATATGACCATTCCTATCACCTTTTTAGCCGTAATATTTCGAGATCTGACGCAGAAATAAGACGTAGTGTGTCTTTCATTAACCGATCACCTCGAGTTCACTGTAAACTACATTAAGAATTCAAATGTCTGCTCTCTAACTACGATGCTAGGTATCACTGTTTTCTACTTCTGGTTGTCGAAGCGTTTCGATAGCGATTTAAATCTAGTTTCTGTTTAATTGCCGTCCCTTTTATCGTTTCTATCATATTTTTAGTTGAAAAGCCCATTTTGTATTCTTAAATGAGAAACTTCTGCCCATTTACCCATGTTGTAATATAGTATCAATATCTCATTATTGAAGGAAAGATAGGCGAACGTCTTTAAACTCCGTACTGGTAACAAGATGATAGGAAATATACGGATTCAAAGAAAAAATTAAAAAGTACGTCAATTAGATTTGCAGGTGAAGACACAGTGGTTGTTGGGTAGTCGAGATAATAATTAAACATGGCTACTCTCGTATCAAGAGTAAAACAATGTAAAGTAGTGTTTTTTGGTTGCCCGGAATGTGGAATTATGTGTTTGTTGCATATCCAGTCTGCTCTTAAACAAATTGACACAAATAGAGAGGACAGCCTCTTCGGGAAGGGCGTTCCACGCTGCAACTGCTCTTGTGCTGAAGAAGAAATTTTGTCCATCGCTCCTTGCTTTGCCGGGGCATAGTTTACGGGCTGACTGCGCAAAGTTGGCATATTAGCCTGGGTAAGGAAATTGTCAGGGACAAAGTAATAATCCAGGTTATTCCTAATACGAAAGGTAAGTAAGAGGTCCCCTCGTAGTTGTCTGTGAGAAAGGGGGAATAGGTCAAGGCTCGACAGTACAGAGGGATAAGCAAAGGTAGGTCAGATGCATTCCCGTGTTTCCAATATCCTTTTCTTTGCTGCCACGTAATTCCAGAATAGCCGACTGTGACAATCTATAAATAAGAATCCAAACTCCCTCAATCATCTGGGCATCTCTTGCCACATGTTTTGGTTTTAAAACTGAATTAATTGAGGCATGCCTCTCTCCGCAGGTGTGGTTTGATCCCCTCGGACTAGTTGAACAGGTGGGACGCGATCGCCTCGCTGCCCAGGAGGCTGAACACGCCCTTGTCACAAATTTGCGCAAAGTTATTCGACCTTTCATGCTGCGTCGAACGAAGAGCGAGGCTAATGTCTTCTTGCCGCCAAAGCGCGAGGTTGTTCTTCGAGTGGCCATGGCACCGCTCCAAAAGGTACGTGAGTGTGCGTATTTAATAATTCTGGCTTGCTCCCTTCGATTCATAATTAGTCCGTTAAGGTTGATGGCCGGTCGGTAGAACAAATAGTTTACGGTTTTTGCTTTCTATCCATTTCTTGAGTCTAGGGCTGTTAATGAAGCAACATATTGAATATCTGGTCGTACACCTACGGGTACCTCTCCCTCCTCTGAAATATGCTGCAAGGCCACCTTTAATATAGGTGTTTCGTCCCTTGCGTTCTTCGACTGTATCCAGCAGTCACGCGTACGCCAAAACCAGTGATAACAACTATCAAGGTGGTATGGTACTATTAAGAGAAATAGTACACAATAAATACACAAACCCTAACAATGGATATTCCAAGTCAAGAGCAAGGGGAGTCGGTT